CTTAATTTTGCTAATTATTATCCACAAGCACCTTTATATTCATTGCATGTTTAAATAAACCAAGTCTCTAGAGCAAAGAGACCAGGTCAAAGGAATCAAATGCATAACTGTACCAAGGGCCACACCAAATGATGCAGGGGCTGGAGATAGTGACATTTAGGGGACTGCTGCTGGGTGATCAGAGTGGGCTTGTCTCTGAGCAGGGAAGGAGGAGATGCTGAACCAGCGTGACTACGAGTCGGCCTCGCTGCAGGAGGTGCGGGCGCTGCTAAGGCGCCACGAGGCCTTTGAAAGCGACCTGGCTGCGCACCAAGATCGAGTGGAGCACATAGCAGCGCTGGCCCAGGAGCTCAAGTAGGCGTGGTCCACTCCGTAGCACCGCCCCTCTAGGCCCCGCCCCTCAACCAAGCCCTACTGGTCCAGGGCTCCAAGAGGCGTAGCCTTTCCCTAATGAACACGCCCCCAACTGGCTCTGCCCTGCGGGCCGAGCTCGAGTGGGCGTGGTCCTCTGCCAACCCGGCTCCCTTGTGGCTCTGCGTTCCACCTCACTTTCCCTGGTGCAGGAACTCCACCCTGGTATCCCTGTTCATTCGCATCCTTTTTCCCTCTACCTTCCTCATTTAGCCACTCAACGTATTTCTAGACCCTTCATTTCTGTCCACACTTTGTTCACCAAGAAGACAAGGCCCACCCTATCCATAACCTGGCTGGAGCCACTCTCCGTATCAACCTCAGACCCCGCCCCTCTCCATAGGACCCCGCCCTCTTCGTATGACCCCGCCCCTTTCCCCATGACCCCGCCCCCTCACGCCCCTTAGGGACTGTGTTGTGCTCTGTTCTCTAAAGAGCCGCACCTCTTTAAAGAAGCCCACCCCACCTGTTCCTGTTCCTCCGTTCCCACCCTACCATCACCAGCAGCACGCAGGTGCTAGCCCTTGTGAGGACATTTATCTGGGTCGGGGTTTGGTCCCACACTCGTCCCCCTTCGTGTCCCCAGTGAACTAGACTACCACGAAGCAGCCTCGGTGAATAGCCGCTGCCAGGCCATCTGCGACCAGTGGGACAACCTGGGCACGCTGACCCAGAAGAGGCGGGACGCCCTAGAGGTGGGGCTGGGGACCCAGGACTGGGGTGAGGGAGGTCACCAGCTGCGAAGGCCCCTGATCCGCTGTCCCCACGGCTCCAGCGGATGGAGAAGCTCCTGGAGACCATTGACCAGCTGCAGCTCGAGTTTGCGCGGAGAGCAGCACCCTTTAATAACTGGCTGGACGGCGCGGTGGAGGACCTGCAGGACGTATGGCTTGTGCACTCGGTGGAGGAGACCCAGGTGCTCACCCACCTGTCCCAGCCCTCGTCCAGCCTGGGCTCTGGGCTTGGGGAAGCATGGATGAGAAGACAGAAGCTAGGGCCGGTCCTTTAGAGAACTCGGGCCGTGGAGGAGGGAAGAAGCCCCCAGTGCCCAGCCCTACCCAGGACCTACTGCTGTCCTGCCTGGGCAAATGGAGGGGTTACTTACTGACACTGCTTGCCTGCTGCCCCCAGAGCTTGCTGACTGCGCATGAGCAGTTCAAGGCCACACTACCTGAGGCTGACCGGGAGCGAGCTGCCATCCTGGGCATTCAGGGTGAGATCCAGAAGATCTGCCAAACGTACGGGCTCCGGGCCAGCATCACAAACCCCTACATCAGCCTGGGCCCGCAGGACATCAACACCAAGTGGGACACGGTCAGTACTGCATAGTCTTTTTCTGACACCCAGCCTCCCACCAGCATTCTAATCACCCAGATTGCTCAAGACAGGGTCTGGGGGCTACCAGTGACTCCACATGCCATTGGAGAAACCCCTTTCTTGTCTGGGCCTCATCCTAAAATAGCCACCATACCCATTGTTCACTTATCAGGACTGGTTTGTGTGGATTACCTTTATACAACCACCTGTGCTATGCTATATACACAGGTGGAAAGTCAGGCCAGGAGAGCTCGAGTGACTTGCCCAAAGTCACACGGCCCAGATGAGTGGGCTGAGGTGTGAGAGAGGAGTGGGCTGGCTCCCACATCTGCCGCCTCCTTCCCAGGTCCGAAAGCTGGTGCCCAGCCGCGACCAAACCCTGCAAGAAGAGCTGGCACGGCAGCAGGTGAATGAGAGGCTCCGACGACAGTTTGCAGCCCAGGCCAATGCTGTTGGGCCTTGGATCCAGGCAAAGGTGGAGGTAAGGGATCTGATGGTGGGTCCACTGGAGTAGGGCAGGGCCCCAGGGAGTTGGGAGCTTGGGCACCACTGCGGGAACTGGGACAGCTGGTGGCAAGGCTGGTGAAAGCAGGAGTTGCCTTCACCCAGGCTAAGCCCACTGCAACCTGGTTCTCCTTGCAGGAAGTGGGGCGGCTGGCAACGGGGATGGTGGGCTCTCTGGAGGAGCAGATGGCCGGGCTGCGGCAGCAGGAACAGAACATTATCAACTACAAGAGCAACATCGACCGGCTGGAGGGTGATCACCAGCTGCTGCAGGAAAGCCTGGTGTTTGACAACAAGCACACGGTCTACAGCATGGAGGTGTGTGTACACCTGTGTCCACTCCGGAGAAGGGGGTGGCATTGGCTGAGAAAGTCGGGGCTGTCCCAGCTAAAAATCTCGTCTGACTGGGAAAGGTCTTCAGTTCCACTGAGCTAGGTCCCCTACAAGATCCAGAGACCCAGGGCAAAGAAGTGGCTCAACAGGGTCAGCAAGTCACAGAGCTTCTACAGCTGGAAAAGGACTGGCCAGAGCAGAGAGGGCCCCAGTTTGGAGGGAGGATGTGCCCAGGTCACACAGCAGGCTGGGAGCAGAGCTGGTGCTGGTGGCCCAGCACTGGCCGCCCACTGACTGGCTGCTCCGCTTGCAGCACATCCGTGTGGGCTGGGAACAGCTGCTCACCTCCATCGCCCGCACCATCAACGAAGTGGAGAACCAGGTCCTAACCCGAGATGCCAAGGGCCTGAGCCAGGAGCAGCTCAATGAGTTCCGGGCATCCTTCAACCACTTTGACCGGGTCAGTGGGGGGCCCGGCCCTGTGGGGTACTGTACTTGGGAGTTCATGGGGCTTGGGGCATGCTAAACCTGACCTCCACTCAACATCCGCAGAAGCGGAACGGAATGATGGAGCCTGATGACTTCCGGGCTTGCCTCATCTCCATGGGCTACGACTTGGTGAGCACCCCAGACTTCTCCCAAGAGCCCCGCTGGGGTCCCTCTCTCCTACTTATCACTTGTGTGTACCTCTCTCCAGCAGGTACATTATTTCATTTCATTCTCATCACACCACATTCTAACAAGGGCCATCAAATGCAGAGAGGTAAATTAACTTGCTCACAGACACACAGGAGCCCTCATGATGTCATGCGTCATGTGCCGTCCAGTCAGAACTGACTCCCAGCTGACCCTCCTTCAGATCACACAGGAAGAGACTGACATGCCAGAATATTACCATGTTTACAGCTTGAGTTCACCAGTCACTGTGAAAGAGGGTCATTTCTTTCTGTAAAGGTTTACGGCTTCAGAAACTTGTCAGATGAAGGGTTACAGTGAGCCTGAACTGACTCACCAGCTCTGTGTTCGCTGACACAGGATTCAGACTCAGGTCTGAGTGTGGACCAACAGGAAGCAGAGGGTGCAGGCAGGTCAGGAAGGTGGTGGGAGTAAATGGCCAAGTGGACAGGAGGCCATCTTTGGAGGAAGGGAGCTTGTACAACAGGGCCTTTATTTGGGCCACCTTAAAGTGCTGAGGAGGGGGCACTGGGAGCCCCCCACCCTGACCTTAGCATTCATGGGCAACGGTGCCCACTTCTGTCCCAACAGGGGGAAGTGGAGTTTGCCCGCATCATGACCATGGTGGACCCCAATGCCACCGGGGTTGTGACCTTCCAGGCCTTCATCGACTTCATGACCCGGGAAACAGCTGAGACCGACACAGCCGAACAGGTGGTGGCCTCCTTCAAGATCCTGGCCGGAGACAAGGTGAGCCTGGGCACGAGGGGCTGGCTGGAGGGCGGCTGCCCTGGGCGCGAGGGGCTGGCTGGAGGGCGGCTGCCCTGGGCGCGAGGGGCTGGGCGGGAGGGCGGCCGCCTGCACCCGGTGGGCTGCCTGCCTGAGCGCCTCCTCCCTGCAGAGCTACATCACCTCGGAGGAGCTGCGGCGGGAGCTCCCGGCTGAGCAGGCCGAGTACTGCATCCGTCGCATGGCACCCTACAAGGGAGCCGGGGCCCCAGCCGGTGCCCTGGACTACGTGGCCTTCTCCAGTGCCCTCTATGGGGAGAGTGACCTCTGAGCTCCCACTCGGTTCTCCACGCTCAGTGTTGGGGGTTCCTTCCCACGGCCGACCCTCCTTTCCTCGGAGCAGGGCCTCAGAGACCATGTTTCTGAATAAAGAAGTCCCCCTTGCTGCTCATCTCCACTGGTTTCTGGGTAGGACCAGCAGCCCCCTGCTGACCCCTGGGGTCCCGTGTCCCCTTTTGCCCTCACGGATGGAATGTTCACACCACATGGGGACCAAGACACCTCTTTATTAGTGTTAGAAAAGGACTGTTGTGACTGTTTCTCTAGATGTGAGAAGGGACACTGGCCCCCAGGCTATGGGAACAAGAAAATGTCTAGCATTAGACAAAGGGGTGCTGGGGCAGGAAGCCAGAGCCCGGGGAGCAAAGCCAGGTCTGCGAACAGAACTCTCTCTCACCTGCCTGCTTCTTAAACCCAAATCCAGGGTTCTTGCCCCAGCTTCGGTGCCAACTATCATCCTTCACTCCAAGATCCTCCTCCCTACCACCATTCAACAAAGGTGCAACGGGGGACCCCTCTGGGTGGGTGAGTGAGTGAAAGGAAAGAGGAGCTGGGCCCCTGGCACCCTCCACTCAGCCCAGGGTACTCAGTGCCCGTCCCTCAGCCAGCTGTGCCTCCGGGGGAGAGGCCTGGTCACACAGGCTGAGAAAGGGGTTGCTCTGGTGGGAACCAGCTCCTGAGCTGGTGACACCTCAGTCCACCACCGCTGAGCTGGCCATGGTGTTCACACCACAGGCCCCGGACCCACGATACAGGTAGTAGTAACCCTGGAAAAAGAAGGGCTTGGTAAGGGTGTGAGAGCATGACCGGGGCCCACAGCCATGGGTGAGGTCAGAACAGAGGCCACAGGGCCAGGAGCCAAGGGCAGAACAGACCTGTGAGGCCAGGGCCTAGGGGACAAGACTCACCTCCTCACCCCAGTCAGTGCCCCAGCTATTCTTGATGGCCCAGAAGGGGACTTCAGAGCCTGGAAGCAGAGCAAACACAGAGTCAGGAGCTCCCAGCTCTTCAGATAAACACCAAGCACTTTCACTCTGACTACACACTGCAGCAGGCCTGCTATGTGCCAAGCACTAGGAAAGCACAGAAGGCAAAAAGGCCCCCACCACCCTCCTGGAGACCTGGTATAGCTACCGGTGGGTGACAGCCCAGCACCCCTTTTCCTCAACCCCTGGGCAGGATGGTCCTGGCCTGGCCCACAGCTGGAGGCAGGGAAGGAAAGGGTTTCTAGGCAGCCCTCAAGCCCCCGCCAGAAGCCCCGAGGTCCAAGCCCTGCCAGTGTCCTGGGCACAGCGGGTCAGCAGAACTCACGGTTGCCATAGCCCACGATCAACACAGCATGGTCGATGAGCCAAGAGCTGCAGAGGGGCCGCAGAGGGTGGGCAACCCCATGGCGGTAGAACTGGGAGGGGAATGAGGAGTGAGGGGAGCAGCTCCAAGGAGGAGAGCTGTCAGCAGGAGAGGGCGTGGCCGCGGGGCTGGGGCCTTACCTGCATGCCAAAGGCGTTGATGGCAACAGAGATCGGGCCTTTGCTGGCCAGCCAGGCCGCCAGCTCTGAGGCAGGAGGGACAGCCATCAGTAGGCACCCAGGCCGGGCCCCCACCCCGCTCTCACCCCACCCCTCACTCACTGTGCTCATTCTGACTCAGCTCCACCGAGTCGTTGATATACACTCTGGCCTTCTTCTCAGAGAAGCTGCAGGCCTGCACGTGGGCGTGGTAGCTGTAGTCTTCCTCCGTCTCCAGCCCTCCTGGGGAGTGATGGGAACAGGGCAGGTGAAGAGAAGGTAGACCCCGCCACTTAGCATCCCCTGGCCTACTGGACCTTCTCCCAATCCTACCATGATGTCCCTTTTCATGGAAAAGCTTCTCTTAAGCAACATGCCCGAAGTATGTGAGATGAAACTTGGTTATGTTTCATATGGAAGAGTGAAAGAGTCCTCAGTGAGATGGGCTGGCACAGTGACAATAGTAATGAGCTTAAGAGATGATAAAGGACAGGCGAGCTCTGATGGCCTAGTGGCAAGAAGCTACACTGCAATGCTAGAGGTGAGTGGTTTGAATCCACCAGATGCTCTGCTGGAGAAGGAGGGACAATCTCCTCCTGTACCAGTCAGATCTGATTTGACGGTACACACACACACACACACAAATTAAAAAAAATTTGGAAAAAATAAAAGGATATGATACAAGACAGGGTTCAGATCGGTTGGCCCTAAAGTCACTATGTATGAGTCGTACTCAAAAGCACCTACCAATAACCTACTGGAATAAGACCTGGTGGTACAATGGTTAAAATACTTGGCTGCTAACCAAAAGGTTGGCAGTTTGAAACCATCAGCTGCTCCTGAGGAGAAAGATGAGGTTCCTATAACGATGTAAAGCCTCTGAAACCCTCTGGGGCAGTTATGCTGGGCGCTCCAAGACACCATGAGTGAGAACATATTCCGGAAGAGCGACGGGCTTCTCAGCGCTGTGCTAAACTCACGCACACGACCACGTGGGCCTCATTCCAGGGACAAGGAGCAGGAAGCGACACTAATTATCAAGCAAAGCGGGAGGGTTGGACCCTGACTCCTGGCTGAGGGCTCAGCTCAGGGTTCCCGAGGCTCTTGGCCTTGCTTGCCATCTTTGTCCCTGTCTGACTATGCATTCGCAATCCAGCTCAGAACCCTGTCAGGCCCCTGGACCAGTCTTTGCAAAGCCACCTCCAGACCCCTTCATCCTTCTGCCATGGCAGCCCATGAACTGGACTACAACTGGGGTCCATTCCCTCCTCGGCTGAGGTGTGCCGCCTACGTGGCACAGCACCGTTGTACACCTCTCAGCAGCCACGTTAGGACGTCGTGCACCACGCACTTGCTGTGGGCTGAGAAATCCACACCCTCTCCCTCCAGATGCTCCACACCATCCTGTGAGGGAGCACCGTGAACCTTATTACACTGTCCAGGCACCTGGGGTCTGACTTGGCCAGGATCTTTAACTTTAATGGTCCCTGTGAAGACTTGAAATCAGCGCTGTAGCACCCAAGTTCATGTTCCTGCCCTTCAAACAGACTTCCTGCAGAGGAAGAAGCAGTCTCCACTAACCAACCCCCCACCCCCGACCCATCAAAGCGTACCCAGAGTCCTTATTGCTGCGTAGGCGTTGGCCGGCATGCCGCCCATGCATGCCTTGTCCAGCTTGTCACAGTCCAAGAGCTCTAGGAGACAGAAGGCTTGTCCCGAGGAGCCCGCTGGTAGGGCTGGACTGGGGACAGGGACACAGAGCGGGATGCTCACCCTGCTCAGAGAGGGAGAGCAGGGTCCCACGGTTCAGGAACCACTGGCCCTCCACATTGCCAGTCACAGAGAAGGCCCAGCAGGAGCCGCACATGCCCTGCAGGAGATGGCAGAGTCAGGACTGGTCCCCTGCTGGTCCCAAGGGCAGCACTCACATCCCACCCTCACCTCCTAGGACCAACCTGGTCCTTGACTTTGGTGACAGCACCCTTCTTCCTCCAGTCCCATTCAGGAGGTGCAGGCTGCATGGGGGCCCTGGCGAGGCGCATCTTGTTTTGAGGTTTCTTTCTCAGGAGGGGATTCAGGTAGATGGTGCGGAACTCCTCCTCTGCAGATAAAGGTGGGCAGGGGTGGGCCAGGGATGGGAGCCTTCTAAACTAACCCTACCCAGGGGCCTTGGGAGCAGGTTCTAACACTTACAGGTCCATGAGAGATATGGCCACCGGCTCCCTTACCTGTGAGGTCACTGAACTTGGTCACCCCATACTGAGCTGTGCCACGGTCCAGGGCCTGGATTTTCTGTGCCAGGATCATGTTGTTGGCAAAGACAGACATGCGCCACTTGGCCTCTGAAGACAAGGAGTGTGAGAGGAGGAGCTGGGACCCCACGCAGATGATAAACGGAGGGTGCTTAGAGGACAGAACCCTGAGATGGGCAAGGGGGCCAGGTCTATAGTAAGGGCTCAGGAGATGAGATCAACTTTTAAGGGAGTGAGGAATAACCGAGGTGGACAAATAGGTGGAGACTGAGAGTGCGGTATCTCAGCAAGAAAAGCTGGCCACCACTCTATCCTACAGCCCAGAATGACAAAAGGACATGGAGAAAGAGGCCGGGTACTGTAGTGGCTGCCTGGTCCCAGGAAACTGGTGGACCTGAGGGCTTAGGGATTTCTGATAGATCTTGAAGAAAATGCAGCCACAGAGCTCCTTACAGGCAAGGATGACGAAGTTTCATCTCACATACTTCGGGCATACTGTTAGGAGAGGTTATTCCCTGGAGAGGGACATCATGCTTGGAAAGGTGGAGGGTCACAGAAAGAGAGGAAGACCCTCAAAGAGATGGATTTGCACAGTGACTGCAGCAATGGGCTCAAGTGTGTCAGAGATGATGAGGTTGTACAGGACAGGATAGGGTTCAGATCAATAATCAGGTCATAGATCACCGTGAGTCTGACTTGACAACAACAACAACATGCTCTGTGTCCAGCCTTTCCCCTTCCCCAACACCAAGAGGAGGGGCAGTCTGACCTGACTACAGCATGTCCAGTCAAGCTTGGGCCCTCACCTTCCTGTGACTCGTATGTGCGGTTATAAGTGATGACAAAGTCCTTGAAGAGTGACTCGATCTTCACAGAAAAGTCCTGCAGAGGTCAAGAGTCTTTAGGAGCCCCTCTCAGCTGACCAGGGAGCTCCCCCACAGCCCGGGGTGAGGCATGAGAAGGGGGATGCAGCAGCCTGATCTCCAGAGAGCCATGGGAGCCTCACCTGAGGCAGGGAGTGTGGGTTCAAGGGTGGCATGCTGTAATTCATGGACTCGTTCACATTGTCTGGGTAGGAAAAAACAGGGCATCAGGGTTGGAGCAGGCCGTCCCCCTCCCCCCCATGCCAGCATCCCCGGGCTATCCCAGCACCTGAAACCTTGGTATTCACTGGTTCACAGTCCCGTCTCAGTAGCATGTGTTTGCCTAGCTCATCCAGGACCTCGAAGCTGCAGAGCTGAAAGGCGAGAAGGGGCGCTGGGGCTGGGTCATCTCAACGAAGACTGCTCAAGGCAGTCACGTCCTCAGCAGAGAGCCGGTCCAGGCTGCTCACCCTCTCCAGCCCCAGCATCTGGTCCCACCTGCAGCTGGGCAGTGCTGAGCCAAGCCCCACCCCAGGGCCGCTGACTCAGGGCCAGGGCCCAGCCTCACCAGGGTCCTCTTGGACAGCGGGAGCCGGCACACTGAGAGCTTGCACGGTTGTTCCTCCAAGGTCATTTCGAGGGAGTACAAGGACCCAAGGCCCGCCTGGGTGGAGGGACAACCTTAACTTCATGGCCCGCAGGTCCACCCACGCCCTCCCCCTTCCCTGTGTTCGCAGAGTCCAGGCCAGCGATCCCCGCCAGGGTCCCCCAGGTCCGCCCTGCACGTCTCACCCGGCGGATGCGCCCTCGGACAGTCCCCAGCGAAGCCTCTGTCCCCGCAGCCCGGCCTTGGTTGTACATCCTTAGAGCGAAGCGGGCCGGCTTCAGCAGCTCCGGGGGTGGCGGCCCCGAGGCCGGCGCGGGGGCGAAGGCAGCGCCCGGGAGCAGCCCCAGCAGCGATAGCAGCAGCAGCCAGTGCGCCATGGCGAGGGCGAAGGGAGACCCGGCGCTCGGACCCAGGACGCTCGGCCAACCGACGGGCGGGGCGGCCCCGCGGGGGGCGTGCCGGCCAATGAGCGCCGGCCGCTGGCGCCTGCGCACTGGCGTGTTTACCGCGGGCACGTGGGACGGAGCCGGGACTTGCAGGACGAGGTTGCGTGCGGGCATCCCATCCCCCTTCCCAGGGCACGGGGTGGCAGGACCGCGGCCTCACTGCGCCCCGGAGCCGCTGCCACCTCAGCCTGACCCTTCTGTGTCACGTAGCTGCACCCTGGGGAGGTGACAGGGCGTTGGCCTGAGGAAAAAAAATAATAATAAACTTTAATTGCGTGCTTATTAGACATTGCATTCCATCTCCTTGCAGTGGTCACAGCAATTCCAGGAAGTGTTACTATCCCTATTATTGTGGTTGTTAGGTGCCTTCCAGATGAATACGACTCAAAGAGACCCTATCAACAACAGATCTGAACCCTGTCCTGTTTACCATCCGGTGTCCCTGACATGCTTGAGCTCATTTCTGCAGTCATTGTGTCAGTATTTCCATCTTAGAATTGAAGTAACAGGTTTAAAGAGATGTGACCTGATAAACAGGTAAATCAAAACAACTGTGAGATATCATCTCACCCCAGTAAGATTAGCAAAATTTAACAGAACAGAAAACACATGCTGGCGAGGTTGTGGAGAAACTGGAACCCTTATTCACTGTTGGTGGGAGTGTAAAATGGTGCAACCACTATGGAAGGCCGTGTGGCGCTTTCTCAAAACGTTGCAAATAGAAATACCATTTGACCCAGCAATTCCACTACTGGGAATAGACCCCAAAGAGACCATAACTGCCATCCAAGCAGATAATATACACACCCATGTTTATCGCAGCTTTGTTCACAATAGCAAAGAGCTGGAAACAACCTAAGTGCCCATCAACAAACGAATGGATAGAGAAGCTGTGGTATATAATGGAATACTACGCTGTATTGAAAATCAAAGAACTCATAAGATATTATACAAAATGGGTTACCCTGGAGGACATTATGCTGAGTGAAATATCTTAGTCACAAAAGGACAAATATTGCATGGTGCCATTGTTGTAAAATGTGACTGACATTGGGGTTGGGAGAAGAGTGAGAAAGATGGGATAAATAATGTATACTGCATTGAAACCGATGAGGGAGAGAACTGCTTAAAAGGAATATGTGATTAGGTATTTTTGTCATGACAGGAGTCCATAATGAAGGCTGCATAGTGAAGTGGACTTGCGGGAGTGATTTTATAACAATGAATTTTTCTTTTACTTTTCAAAGAGAAGAGCAAACGGCGGGGGGGGGCGGGGGGGGCGGTTGGGGGGTGTGAAAAGTGCAACAATGAATGAATGGAAATCCAAAGTCTGTAAATTTTCATTAAAATGAATAATAATAAAAACAGGTAAATAAGCAGCACTGGACTTGAACCCGGGAATTTGGCTGTAGAACCTGGGTTTGCCCCCCACTTTTTGACAGCCTCAATTCTCAACAGTGAGAAATGGCAGATGATATTCCAGGGTTAGGAGCGTGCCTGGGGCTGCTGTGAGGATCAAACGCAATCATGTGAAAGCATTTGGTTAGCACGGAGGAATCTGCACAGGCAGGGTCGGCCCCTGTTTTTGTTCACTGGAGCATTGACTCGCTTTTGCAGGGCCTCAGAAGGGGAGTCATGGGAATTTTAGGACACAGGCCTGCCTGTCAGAATTGTCTGGTGGAGAAACAGATAAAAACTTTACTGATTTTTTTTTTTCACTTTTTGTTCACAGCTTTTGTTCAGTTTTGTTCAAAGCTAAAAGAGGCTAAACCCAGAAGAGAGTCAAAGAGAGGGGCATAAGTTAGTGTGGACCTTATTGTTCTTAGGTCCATTCAGGCTGAGTAAACTCATAGTGACCCTATGAACAACAGATCTGAACCTTGTCCTCTCCTGTGCCATCCTCATCATCTTTGACAACCTTGAGCCCATTGCTGTAGTGGCTGCACTGTGTCCTTGATCTCTCACTGAGGGCCTTTATCTCTTTCGCCAACCTTCTACCTTTCCAAGCACAGTGTCCCTCTCCAAGAATAGCCTCTCAGCAACATGCCCAAAGTATGTGAGATAAAGCTTTATCGTCTTTGCCTCTAAGCCCTCTGGATCCTCTTTCTCCAAGACATATCTATTCTGTTGGCAGTCCATGGGACATTCAGCACTCTTCTTCAACACCACAGTTCAACATCAATTCTTCTATCATCCTTATTGTCCAACTCTCACACTCATAGCAGGTCATTTGAAACAATATGGCTTGAATCAGATGCATCTCATTCTTTTTTGGGGGGTGTGTGTTTGTGTGTACCATCAAATTGGAACTGACTGGTACAGGAGGAGATTGTCCCTCCTTCTCCAGCAGAGCATTTGGTGGATTCGAGCTGTGTACTTCTGGGATTGCAGTGCAGCTTCTTGCTACTAGGCTAACAGAGGTCCCTTTTTTTAAAAAAAATAAATTATTTTGCATCTCATTCTTTGACATCATCATTCTTCAAGACTTGGGGAGATCCCTGACATCTGACTTTGCTAGTGCAGTAAGTTTCTTGATCTCCTGACTACTGTTGATTGTGGATAAAATTAAGTCATTGACAACTTTAATCTTTTCTCCGGCTATCATGATATTCCATGTTGGTCCAGTGGTGAGGATTTTTCTTTTCTTTATGTTGAGATATAATTCATATTGAAGGCTGGATTCTTTGATCCTCTACAGCATGTGTTTCGATTCCTCCTCACTTTCATTCAGCGAACAAGGTGGTATCATCTGCATAACACAAGTTGTTGATGAGTCTTCCTCCAGTCTTGATGCCACATTTTCTTTATAGAGTTCAGTTTCTTAAATAATTTTCTCAGAATACAAACTAAATAGGTATGTAGAAATGATACAACCCTGACACACACCTGTCTTAATTTTGAACTATTTCGTGTTCTCTTGCTCTGTTCTGACAAAAAGCTTCTTGGTCTAGATATAGGTTTTGTATAAGCATTATTAAGTGTTCTGGGATTCTCATTCTTCTCAATATTAGCCATAGTTTACTATGAACCACACAGTCAAATACCTTTGACATAGTCAATAAAACGCAAATAGCCATTCTTGTGATAGTCTCTGCTTTCAATCAGGATCCATTAGGCATCAGCAGTGTTACCCCTGATGCCAAGATCTTTTCTGAACCCAGCTTGAACTTCTTTTTTTTTTTCAGCTTGAACTTCTGGACGTTTCCTTTCAATATACTCTTCTAGCCATTTTTAATGATCTTCAGCAATATTTTTCTTGCATGTGGTATTAATAATACTGTTTGATAATTTCCATATTCTGTTGGATTACCTTTCTTGGGAATGGGAACAAATATGAATCTATTCCTGTCAGTTGGCCACACAGCTGTCCGTCTACCAAATTTCCTGGCATAGACTGATGAGTGCATCCAGGGCTTCATCTGTTTGTTGGGACATTTCAACTGCTATCCCATTGATTCCTGGGGTACTTTTTGTCAATGCCTTCATTGACCATGCAAAGGCATTTGACTGTGTAGATGGGTTTAAAAATTATTTTAAGTGTAAACATAAAAGTTGCATACTGTTCTCTTCTGCCATTGGGCTATTCTGACTCTGGCAGACCCAGTGTTATAGCATGGTCTGCTCCAGAGACTTTTGATAGTTGAAGGACATCATGCTTGGTAAAGTCAGGTCCACAGTGTCCTCAAACAGTGTGCCTTTGGGATTGCAGCGCAGCTTCTTGCCACTAGACCACCAGAGCTCCCTACAGAGCGATGACGGGGTACAAATCTTTCTAGTAGCAGCTGAGCACTTAACCACTGCACCACCAAGGCTCCTTCAAGCTCTCCCACATCCTGTACTCTTTACAGCAGTTTTTTTTTCCTCAGTCCAGCTAATGTCCATAAGAAGCTCTGATGGTTTAGTGGGAAGGAGTTGTGCTGCCAACCCAAAGGCACACAGTACAAATCCACCAGCGTCTCTGCAGGAGAAAGATGGACAATCTCCTCCCACCCAATTTACTACCTCTAAAAACCTGCTGGAGGATAAGCTACGGACTGGTTCCAACTCCAAAATACCTGACAACAACTACAACTAACTCCCAGACACCTTTCAACTTTCAGTTCACTGTCCCCTGGAAGGTATTCCCGACACAGCCCTTCTTGCCCATCTGAGCTCATTGCCAAGCCTCAGTTCTCCTAGCTGTCACCTTTAATTTCTTTGTGGGTGTCCTCCACTGGGGCAAGGATGCTGTTGTGTCCCCTGCTGCCCACCATACTATTCGACACGTTTAAGCTGGTTATCCTAAAGTCACCTCCTACTCACAGCCACCCAACGCATGTCAGGTAGAACTGTGCCCCACGGGGGTCCCAACAGCTGTTTTTTTCCAAAGTAGATCATCCAGGCTTTCTTCTCAGGCACCTCTGGGTGGGCTTGAAGCACCAACCTGACAGCAGCTGAGTAACTGCACCCCCCAGGACCTCTCTTGACATTTTAAATCTGCTTAGTAAACATTTAAGAAGCTCTGGTCATGTTCTGTTAGGTGTTGCTCTGATGACTAAATGATGAGCAATTTTAATCCAACAAAGGAGGTAGAAATATGGGAATAAAGATGTGCAGCCCTGGAGATGCAGTGGAGGGTCTCTGAGTCTGAATCAACTCCACAGACATGGGGTACAAACATTGGATGAATGACTGAATGAAGCAGGCTCTGAAGTGGGTGTGATGTCAACTTACTGCTGTTTAACTGAGATCTTCATTCCCAAAGGATGAAGGCCAGGTTGGGCAGAGAAACCTCTGAGAATGCCTCTCATCAGTAGTCCAGGACCGTAAAGTGTGTCCGTGGAACACCATCAAACACCCCACACACACACACAGAGTCCACCTCCTGAAAGATCTGAAGCAGACTAAGTTACAAACAGGGATTCCTAGGGCCCAAGAAGAGACAGATGGTG